GGTGTTGTCAACAATGACAACACTGATGACCACACAGGAAAAGATTTCTGAATCTAACTGCAAAAATCCACAGGGCAGAAAGATGATAACAAATACGGATTTTCTTTCAGCAAAGATACCATGGGATAAACATCAGCTGACAGGAAGAGACACGGTATTCACAGTGTTTAGAATCAATGCAAAAATATCTAGGATGTGCAGGCAACTGCTGCCAGTCAGCAAGACAGACAAAACTCAGAAACCTTGACAGAAAAGTGGGCAACAAGCAGCAACAGATCACAAGGAACCCCAAAACTCAGACACCTGAGGAGATGGGAGAATCACTGGCTGCTGATGAGGGAGGTGCCAGCTACAAGGACAGTGCGGCATCCCATAGTCCTGGCAGAAACTGGAAGTTGGCAAATGCCAGGTGCAGGTTGGGGATGTGGGGACCTGGGCCCTTGTGCAATGACAGGGATCAGCCACCCCAGGGGCACCACTTAGGCAAACGATGTGCATGGGTAGTCACTGGCCATCCGCTCTTGAGTGTGTGCACAAAGCTTTTTCCTTCAGCTCCCTGAGGGGACACTTTTCAGGGAACTGGGGTACTTAGGGACCCCCTCATGGGGCAGTACATAAATAAATGGAAGACGTTTATCACCAAGCAGTCTCCCAAAGACTGCTGCCACCCAGGTGTCCACACAGCCACATGGATAAGTCTTCAAGCACATAGTGAAGACAGACAGAACAGAGAAACACTATTAATATCTTATGATATAATTCACAGTGACACAGAAGAATTTAAAATTATGTATAAAAATGTAAGGAAAATAATACTTAATATATAGTTACCTATGATATGACATGAGATAGCAAAATTTTTTGAGATATAACAAAATTATACAGGGCTGCATAATTATATTAACATAAATATATAGCATATTACATAACATGATTACATGATTTAAGAATATAGCCCAAACTTACATGATTTTTTTTTTTAAATGTATTTAGTACAGGGTCTATAGGGTCTCACTACACAGATTGGACTCAGTGATCCTGTTTTCAGCTTCCCAAGTGCTGGGATTACAGGCACGTGCCACCACGCCCAGTCTCAATCCCAATACTCAGAGTGCCCCAGGCGGGGCTGGCACAGCAAGACCATATTTAATACAATTGTATTAGTATCAGTGTTTAACTCTGTAACACCTAACAATCTACTGTATGTGAAATAACACTTTACAGGGTCGGTGAGATAGCTCAGCGGACTAAATGATGCCTACTTTGGAGTTATGGTTTGTATCTAGGTGTCCCCCCAAAGCCTCACGTAGTCTGGGGGTGGCTTCTGGAGTTTGTGATTGATTACTGTGGGTGTGGATGCTGACCCTGCCCTGGGGCAGGTAATTTGCATCACAATGTAAGATGGGAAGAGAAGCTAGCTGCTTGAGCGGCTGCTACCCCTCCCTTGTGCTCTTGCTCTTTGCCACCACCATGAAAGGTTGCTTTCTGCTATGTGC